AGAGCAAAACCAAGCAACAATATACAACAAAACAACAACAACAAACCAATGACAAAAAGCAAAACAAAACACAACAAGAAAGAAAGCTTGTAGTTAGTTCAAGGACTGTTGGCCTTTAGGAGTGTTTGCCAGTCCAGTCTGTTGGGACCCCACACCCTGGCCCCAAAGTCCACCTTCAGCATTCCCTGGGGACCTCACCGCTCTGTTCCCTTGCTGTTCTGTTAGTGTTTTGCACCCCGTTAGTGTTTTGCCTCGGTGTGGCGGGATCAGATCGGGCGCAGTTCCCACCCTGTGTCTCCAGTGTTGTCCCCTGTAGGGCTATGGGTCAGTGAAGGACATCATTTCTCATAGTGGGACCGGCTATGTGGTCCTCTCTGTGGATTGGCTGCTCTAATCGGGAACATCATCCTCACGGCCTGGTGGGCCAGGATGTGCTTCGCTCTCTCCTCCTCCCCCTTCACTGCACCCGTGTGCTCTGATCAGACATGTCCCTCTCCCAGAGCTGCAGATTCCATGCTGTCCTTTGAAACAAATTCTTCTGGGGGAAGGGGCAGGTGTCCACGTAGTAGATGGGATTGGGGCCAGCCCCCCAGACCTCTCCACTACTCCGTGCCGCATGTTGCATGTTGCAGTCACATCTTGGAGCACTGGGTTGAAGTCTGATCCCTCTTTCCCTGTGGAGATATAAACAGTGCCCTCCCTTTGGGTGGGTCAGGTGGCTGCCTTTTTCTGTAAAGGTGACAGCCTTGGAAACACAACAGCGCTGTTCGAACAATAGCGACTTTGTGGGACAGAATCAACTTGAGAGCCGTGGGTTTGGATTTTTGGGTTCATAGAGAAGCTCTTTTATGGACGCTGGTCTTCCTCAGAAGTAATCTCTGTTGTGTTTGAAATGGCCTGATGTTTAGGCTGGGACTTTTACAATTCTTGTGCTAATCCTGTCTTGGGCAGAACATATTTTAAAGGCTTTAATCTAAGTTTAGTAGAATGTGGCTTTCCTCATGTCACCATCATTCTATTGGCCATTGTCCTGTGGTCATTCTGGGCCCACATACCCATAACTTTCCATTTTCTCCTGACCTCTGCCATCTCAACTAGGTCCATCAAGCATTGGTCTCAGCTTTCTTATAAAGTGTCCTGATGTAAAGAAATTCCTTCTCTGAGCTTCCCTATTTCTCGTATAGATTTTTTTAGGGGGTGGGGGGTAGAGGGTCGGAACG